ATTGGGGTTTCAATAGCTGGAAAAATAAAATAAAATGCAAATGCTATAAAACGCGAACGCATATATAGAATCGGTAGCAATGCCTGACAGAGCCCAGTGAAAACAGTGCGCCGCTACGTTCGTGTTACTTCCCATCCTCCCTGCATCCGTGAAGTTGTCAAGAAGCACGACTGCAAATTAACTCGCATGAAAACATGAATTTGCGAGCTTCTTAACACATGCGGCCGTTCAGCACCAGCATTCTGTATTCTACTCGTGCAGCGCCACCATGCAGGAGCGGCGAGCAGAGGAGGAGCATGCGCTCGACGGCTTGAAGAGAGCGTTCGCCCGGGCACTGAAAAAAAAGAGAAGGCGCTGGTTCATAGCCCTGTTGTGTTCGCGTGTGTAGAGTTAGACTTGTCGCACGTTGTGGTGTGTGTGTAACAATAGCTGCAAACACTAAGAAACGTATGACTGACTTTTGTGCTAAACTAGAAGCAATCCAGCGCGTCGAGAATGGCGAAAAGAAGTCAAGCGTCGGAGATGCGTTTGGCATACGAGGGAGCACATTGAGTACTCTACTCAAAAACAAAGGCGACATAAAGGCCAAGACCGAGAAGAGTCAGCACTCGGGCGCGCGGCGTGTACACAAAGCTGCCTTCAAGGATGTTGAGAAGGCGCTTTACAAGTGCTTTATAGACGCAAAGGCCCGAAATATTCTTATATCGGGACCAATCTTGCAACAGAAGGCAGAAAACTTTGCATTCATTCTCGGCGCCGATAATTTCAGTGCAAGCAGCAGTTGGCTCCAACGATTCAAGACTCGCTTGACATTGTTTAGAAGACGGTGTTTAGAGAGAGTGAAGACGCCAATGAAGAAGAAATTCAAAAGCGGCTTGATCATGAGTGGCCAAAAGTTCTCACAAAGTATGAGCCAAACCAGATCTTCAATGCTGACGAGCCTACTACTGCAAATGCTTCCGCGACAAACACTGGACACTTGCAGGGACAAGTGCCACAGATGCAAGCAAGACAAGGCTCGTGTGACGGTCCTATTGGCTGACAATGTGGATGAAAGTACGAAGCTGCGGCCACTTGTAATTGGCAAGTTTCAAACCCCAAGGTGCATGCGGAACTGCCCCAATATTCCAGTGTCTTATGCCTAGAACAAGAAGTTGTGGATGACGAGGGACATTTTCATTAGGTGGCTGAAGGCATGGGATTCAGACCTGGCACGTCAAGGTAAGAAGGTATGCCTTACTGTCGACAACTGCACGGCACACCACATTGATGCCCAGCTGAGCAACATCGAAGTGGAATTTCTGCCGCCTAACACCACTTCAAAGCTGCAACCGTTAGATCAGAGCATTATTCGCACATTTAGGTCAATCTGCAAGCGTTGGCTGATCGAAATTTTGCTTGTCAAGCTCTGGATGGCCCAAGACATGAAGATTGAGCTTCTGGGTGCCATCCAAATGCTGAAAGTGTCGTGAGATAACATCAAGTAGTCGACGATAGCCAACTGCTTTCAGCATGCGGGCTTCGCTGGCTGTACTTATGAGGCATTAGTGGAAGAAACGGAGGAAGCTGGGCTTGCATGCGCAGATGAAGAGAGCGAGCCCGCCAAAACCTGGAGCAAGCTGGAGAGCTTTGTTGGTGCCGAGCCGCAAAGCATGCGCATCGACGACTTCGTTGAATGACAATAGCACTGGTACAACAACAGCGGAGCTGACGGATGTAGAGATCGTCGCTGAAGTTACTGCTGAGCAGCCAAATGAAAATGCTGCCAAGATGGATCGCGCAAGTGCTTATGATGCCCCGCTCCCTACATCAGCTGAGGTCATAGCTGGTCTGGTCCTTGTGCGCCGCCACTGCGGCGCGACTGAAAACACAGGCTTATCACTCGTGGATTGCCTAGATTACGTTGAGGACGCAGTCGTCAAAAACGTCATTGCCAACAAAAAGCAGGCTACTCTTTTTCAGTATTTTAAGCCGACACAATAAATGCTTTGTTTGAATTCTCAAGTGAGTACTTACTGCACCATGATTGGTTCATTGGTTGTTTTTCACAAGCTTGTGATGCATTTTCTACTTGATTTCTTTTATATCGAATTCTGGATATACTGAACTATTTTGCCATCGCCGCGCTGTTCGATATATCGAGGTTCGATGTATATATATTTAAATAAAGTCAAATGCCGTTTGTTAAGTATTCAATCTAGAACATTTGCTGAGATGGAACACTTTATATTTGGTTAAGTACTTGTTTTACCATAACAATGAGCAGCCACCCCACCATAAACTTTTGTATGTGTTCTATGGTTAAATAAAGTATTTACTATAATTTTTCCATCCACATTACCACTTGTAACATGAAATCTGGCAACTGGGTACCTATATGAATGGCAAATGAAAACATGAAAAAAAAATATAAACCAGTGTGACCCCTTGCATCTATATGTATACCGCACCATCCGAGCCAGCTTTTCAGGTTTCTCAGCACTGTGCCGATGCACAGGTCTTCAGTCTCCCTTCCGCCTGTCTGAACATAGGCAGCCTTCACAGTCAGCATTATTGTAGAAAAGAGTGTGAAACTAAGCTGGAAAGACTGGTGGCTAGCACATACCTCGTGATGGCAAGAGAGAAAGAGAGAGAAGAGAAATGCATACAATGGGGGCTTGCAGGTGACCACGTGTCTTTAGTGCAACTAAGTGCATAGGTAGGCCGCGCATCCTATCTTGCAGGTAATCTGTGGCAGGCACAAAGGCTGGGTGAGCTGAGATGGCTCACAGATCCCAGTCTTTGAAAAGCTGGCTGCCACCCCTTGTAGCATATGAGTGACAGGCATAGGCAGAATGACTATTAGTCAGTGATAAAAGCTGTCCATTCATATCGTGTATGAAGCAAGTTAAGAGGAAGTGGGAAGATGCACCTTTGGCCCCACGATTGTAGTAAGAGCACTGTACTCAATTTTTTTGTAATACAAACCACTTCCAACAAAAAATTTTTCATGGCACCTGAATAATATTAAAAGTGGCTTTGACTGTATATCACTAGAAAAGATTATTCCAGCATGACTAGCTGTGAAATGGAATGTAAACTGTATATGTACATAAATAACTTACACAATAGACCCTTCTCATAATTCACAAGTGCACTTCTCTGCCCTGCACAATAGACCAACTAACGGTGGCAACTGTCATGATTCAAATTCAGACAAAGTTCTAGTTGCACATACTTGGGTTTGTCTTTTATGCATGTTTATATCCTTAGAACCAAGTCAACAGTTTCTCTATTATGCAAGAAACGTCGGCTGATACACACTTTTCAGAGAAGCTACTACGTTGCCACTAGTTGGGTAAACAACCTCACAGAAACAGCCAGGCCTGTGCGGAAGGCACAGCACAGTCTTGGCAAAAGCTAGAAAAGCAGCTTTTCTAGAGCATTTTTTTAAACACTTTTGCAGTAACTATTACGGATACACTAGCATGGCACCCGCTACACAATAAATAATAATTTTTGTGTTGTGGGGAAGTGTCAACTATGCCATTATTCTTCATTCTTCGAAAAAGCGTGGTACCTGCTACTCACTTGTAAGACATTACATGCATTTTAATGACGCTGTAACTGATGACGAGGAATAATTCTGCGTGAGGCTTTTGTAATGCATCGGAGCATTCAACAACCAACTCGTTATGCAATTCGCATTGTGTGACTTTACTGCTCTAAAAGGCTTCATCACACATGTTAACACAATTTTTTACCTAACATGAAGCCTGCATTGAGTAAGTTTGCAACACAGTTTCAAGCACCGGCTCAGCTCAGTTGTACAGTGGTAGGCTGACATGCAGAGGACCCAGGTTCGATTTATATTTGTCGTTGGTGTTTTTTTTATTTATTTTTTATTTCACTCGATATTGATTACGAACACTGGTGACAGCAGACAACTACGGAGCCAGAATCTGCCCTTGTTGTGATCTCATAACAGCTTTCACTGTAGAAAGCTAACTTTACAGCAACAAACACAGCCCTATACTAATGCGATCGCAATTTTATGAAAATGCTAGGCGGGTTTTTGCCGTTGCCACTGGCATCACCATTGCCGCCATATTCCAGATAAAGTCCAAAATGATAATATCACACTGCACATTGCACATTTCATATGTGAGTAATAGAAGTATCTGAGCAGTAGCGACGAACGTGCCTGAAACAGAGATAAAATGGGACCACCACCTTTATAGTACGAAGGGCCCATGCAATATTATTACCCTGTTTGAGAGACCTGCCTTCGATGGCTTCTCAAGCAGAGTAGAAAGCCGCTGCTTGATGAAGGTGGAGTAAAGAGAGTGAAGGAGCATGAAAGGATGCCCTAGTTGAGGTAGGAAGGCGATTGCGTCGTTCGAGTAGCAATTGTGAACTTTGATCGAAAGGGCATATTCACGAGCACTGGCTCCCTCACTATCTCGACAGATATCAGCAGATGGCACGTATATCCTTGTATGAGTATACAAGAATATCTTTGCACCACTTTGCAATAAAAAAAAAGACAGCAAGAAAAATGCCTCGCGCAATGGAGAAGCCGTATCCCCTAACCCCAGCGTTTTGCATTACACAAGATTTAATTCTGAAAAATTGGCTGCTAGTCTTACTTCACTAAAACTCCACATTGTTACCATCGCATTCATTCTTTCACCCTTGCTGAAAACCGTTTTTTTTAATACAGCCTTATAAAAAAAGTAGCCCCTCGTGGAATCATTTTTGTGGCCATGAACCATTGCTCATTTCAATCTTTAAAATGATATGAACAAGATATTTTCATGTCATATGTGAAAAGGCAGCCACACGATTTGGCATTGGAAACATGCTGCAGACAACCTTAAAAAGCAAACCGATGTCTTCATTTTGTTCGATAATCAGTTCCCCATTTTGCTTGAAAACTATCAGTTAGCCACACCAATTTTTAACTCCTGAACAAACAACAGTGTGAGTTGCAAGTTTCCACCTAAGGCACAGCTACTTACTTTGCAATTGAGAAGTCATTTGGGGTAGAACAGTGTCCCAGAGGGCTACCAGGTTACGGTGCACAAGTGCAGGCAAACACCGCAACAGGCGTAAGACATGAACTCCTCGGTGATGGTGCATCATGGGAGAGCCGAGCACGACTAGCAATCGTGCCAGCAACTCTTGTGGCTTGGGTACATTAGCTGCACAGTAGAGGTGAAATAAAAAAATATATCTGCTTTCCAAAAAATTAGAATATGTTGCCGGTTTCGGCAGAAATATTCAATTTCTCGGCAACAAACCTGACATCCACACTTGAGTTGTTACAATGAAGCGCTTGGAATGTGAACCACAAGGCATAATTGATTGACATGTGGGGTTTAATGTCCCAAAACCACCATAAACCACAAAGCATAGCTTCAGAAACTCCCAGAAGGGTCATTACATGCGAAACGAGCCAGCTGTTTTGGGGGTCACTTCTGATGTAATAAAAAAAAACATGCCGATTTATTGCATTGTAGATCTCTAATTACTAGAATATTTCGGAAAGAAATTATTTTCTGGCCACGTGGGACTTTTCCAAATTTTGCAGTGTCATCTGAGCGTTCATCTAAAAATTTTTCTGATAGTATAGTTTTCTTGTTTCAAGACAAAATTTCGTTTGCATATTAAGCAAAGGCATTTACATAAGGCACTTGAAGCTCAATATTACTAGTACTGCAATTTTTCTGCCATATGAGCCTCGAGCAACTTTTCATTTCATGTTTGCATTTTTGCTTCTGTAATAATCTACTACGTATGAATACCTCAGTGAGAAACACTTACTATAGAGAAAGTAAATTATGCTTTGAAGATATTTTCTGACCACTAAAGTTCGTGAATTTTCCAAGAAGAAAAATCACAAATCTGAAAAAATAATAATTTTGATCTATACAGAGATTAAATTTACATCACTTGGTGTTCTAACTGAAAATCAGGTTTTAACTCAATCGAAAGCAAATACAGTAGGCTCAGTGAACGGAAGTCTCTTAAGCAAAACTACTACTTAGATGGAACAAATACTTCTAACAAAGTTGCTTTCGCACTTGTATTCTGCACCCTTGTTCATTTTTCAGGAAATGGAACTCCTATTAAATTTAACATATTCTCCTGGTCCCCTCAGGTTTCACTTATTGAGAGTATACTATTATTAGCTCTTCATCTATAGCAAGTTTTATCATTATAATTCTTTTAAGGAAGAGAAACATCTTTTATTAAGCTCCTCATTGACGGCAGTTGAAACTTCCTTCTTCCTTTCTTTCTTTTAATGATGCAAGAATAAAATCACAAATTTTTTCAAGTAGTACATTAAAGATGATTGCCCGAATGGCTGTGAGATTTGGTGCGGAATGACCCAGAAGTGAATGCAGCCAAAGAAAGCAAATTTTAGACACATGCAACATTGCTCTTAGTATCATGAAAACCTTCATATTAAAAGAAAAGCGGCGCACAAAAAGACGGAGACAAAGAAGAGAACCACACACAGCGCTGCACTCACAACTGAAAGTTTAATCCGAGCAACAAGACTTTAAAAAGTAATAGCCGCGCATGACAAGTGAGGTACAACGAGATTAAGAGATACACTCATCAATAAAAGTGAACTCTTTTTTGTGCAATGTAACAGAGGTCTGGCTTACGCAAGCATCACGTGACTTGTTAATATGATGGGCTTCCGACACCTCACGGGTGAATTGATCGTGGTGCTTAAAAATAATAACAGTGTTAGAACAGGTGTGCACCCACACGGGGCACAATGCGAAGCCAAATGGGAAAGCGTGCGGTAATGCAAAGAGAGATAGTGCTCCCGCAACCTTTTATTGATACAGCGGCCCGTCTGTCCCACATAATGAAGGCCACAAGATAAAGGAATGCGGTACACCACCCCCACAGCACAAGGCACATACTTATTTCTATGGTTTACGGCACATTTCTTTACATCTGGCTTGTCCTTCTTGTCTAGCTGATTTGACACCAAAGCACATATCTTTCCCAATTTATTGGGTGCCCTAAAAACCACATCAACTCCGTAGCGGGAACCAACATTTTTTAACCCATGTGCCAGTTTATGCATATAAGGAATTGCTGCGAACTTCATTTTTTCTCGATTGATTTTCCTAGCTGCACGTCCTTTCAAACCACCAATTAACTTATCGCAAACAGCCACAATTATGTTAGGGGGGAATCCTGCTTCCTCTAGTCTTGCAACTTGCTTAGCAAAACCCGAGCCAACACATGCCTGCACGATTTTTCTAGAGCGGATTTAAGGCAGGTGAAAGCGATGCCCCTCTTTACCACCTTTGAGTGGGCTGATCCAAAATTAAGAATTGGTTTCACTGATCGTGGCTCAAAACACCAGCAAATATGGGAACTCTGAAACCGAAGTTTAAGATCGAGAAATTGTAGACAGTCTGATTCTAGAACCTCCGATGTGAAGGACAGACCCATGCCTTCTGTCCTGAACACCTTCAACACATTGGAAACATTATCCAGGAACGTGGCATCCTTTATAACAACTAAAAAATCGTCCACATATCGGAAAATACGCATTACAGTTCCGCTTAGGATTGTGTGTACAATGCGATCTATTTTGGCTAAAAAAATTTTCACAAAGGACAGGTGCAACGCATTGTAGATAGATCGCATTGTAGATAGATCGATAGATCGCCAAAATAGATCGCATTGTAGACACAATCCTAAGCGGAACTGTAATGCGTATTTTCCGATATGTGGACGATTTTTTAGTTGTTATAAAGGATGCCACGTTCCCGGATAATGTTTCCAATGTGTTGAAGGTGTTCAGGACAGAAGGCATGGGTCTGTCCTTCACATCGGAGGTTCCAGAATCAGACTGTCTACAATTTCTCGATCTTAAACTTCGGTTTCAGAGTTCCCATATTTGCTGGTGTTTTGAGCCACGATCAGTGAAACCAATTCTTAATTTTGGATCAGCCCACTCAAAGGTGGTAAAGAGGGGCATCGCTTTCACCTGCCTTAAATCCGCTCTAGAAAATCGTGCAGGCATGTGTTGGGCTCGGGTTTTGCTAAGCAAGTTGCAAGACTAGAGGAAGCAGGATTCCCCCCTAACATAATTGTGGCTATTTGCGATAAGTTAATTGGTGGTTTGAAAGGACGTGCAGCTAGGAAAATCAATCGAGAAAAAATGAAGTTCGCAGCAATTCCTTATATGCATAAACTGGCACATGGGTTAAAAAATGTTGGTTCCCGCTACGGAGTTGATGTGGTTTTTAGGGCACCCAATAAATTGGGAAAGATATGTGCTTTGGTGTCAAATCAGCTAGACAAGAAGGACAAGCCAGATGTAAAGAAATGTGCCGTAAACCATAGAAATAAGTATGTGCCTTGTGCTGTAATAAAAGGTTGCGGGAGCACTATCTCTCTTTGCATAACGGCACGCTTTCCCATTTGGCTTCGCATTGTGCCACGTGTGGGTGCACACCTGTTCTAACACTGTTATTATTTTTAAGCACCACGATCAATTCACCCGTGAGGTGTCGGAAGCCTATCATATTAACAAGTCACGTGATGCTTGCGTAAGCCAGACCTCTGTTACATTGCACAAAAAAGAGTTCACTTTTATTGATGAGCGTATCTCTTAATCTCGTTGTATCTCACTTGTAATGCGCAGCTATTACTTTTTAAAGTCTTGTTGCTCGGATTAAACTTTCAGTTGTGAGTGCAGCGCTGTGTGTGGTTCTCTTCTTTGTCTCCGTCTTTTTGTGTGCCGCTTTTCTTTTAATATGAATATACACCAACTCGCCCAACTTTCTATTCTGATTCATGAAAACCTGTTCTAAAAAGTGCTGAGCCTAAACAAGACTCCTAAAGATTCTACAATACAAAAATATTAACCAAGGATAGATATTCTTGTGATATTGACTGACCAGGATATGAAAGGATTTTCTTTACCTGTATACAAAGCACAGTACAGAAGTGTTTCTGACGCATTTATCCAAGGCCATCAAAATTAATTTCATACCACCCATCATGGTTTGCCTCATAATTATTGTGATTTTGGCACATGACACCCGAGCAATTATTATTAAGTGTTTCTGCATTCTATTCATAGTTATCTCATCCTCAGTAATTGTGAAGAGTTCGATCTTAAATCTAGCGCAAAAGTACTGTGCAATAGCATCTGAATATACACAATGGGTAATTCTGAAGCGCATGCACAGGCCAAAGTGTTGAATCTGGGAAAAAAAATGTTTAAAATAAAAAGAACTCAGCTGCTATATGAGACAATAACTAGGTTTTTTTTTCATTGTCTTTCTTTGCTCTATTGACAAATGCATGAACTGGCAAATAATACCAAATGTTGCAATAGCACAGTACTGTACGATGTCTAATGAACGAAATGCAAATGAAATCAGAAGTTGTACGATGTCTAATGAACGAAATGCAAATGAAATCAGAAGTTATCTGACAACACGTTGAACTTCTTGAAAAGCAAATAAAATTTTCTCACTATGCTTCTCATAGTTGATCTCAATAGGGTAACCAGCGTCCCTCTTCTTTGAAGCAAAATTAGCAAGGCACTTGCAAAGAATTCCTACAGCTGAGGTCAGCTCTTCACACAACAAGTACTCAAATAAGGAAGGCCACATGATCTGAAATCAAAATTTTAAAAAATTAGCAATAAAATATAAGCAACAACCCAGGATTTAGGCATTCTGTAAATTCATGTACCTTGTCAATGTCATCAACGGTGGTTGTCAAAAGCTGCAAGACATTTTCACACATTGTACGCAGTGCCTCATTGCTCACATAGTCAAAGTCCGTGGGACGCTTGGCCTAGGAAGAAAACAAACATAAGGTACTTTACAACAGCCCATTTCTTATGGGATTCATTTGCAAAGAAATACACATGAATCAGGGTTAAAATGACGAAAAGAAGGTGGGTCATGCAAAGTAACCAGATGTTGGTGCTGGTATTGAACCGAAAAGGCTTACTGCATCATCTGGAAGAGCACACTGCCGAACAAGAAACTCAACCATGGAGTGACCACCATTTGCATCAAGGTAACCATGGTGTGCCAGAGCAACAATGACTTGGGCCAACACTTTCTTTGCCTGAAAACAATTTCAATGAAAAAAAAAAGAACATCAAAACATAGTTTTTTGTGAATTCACAAGGAACAAATACAAACTTTAGAGTACAAATTAATCTGCTCTATTAAACAGAAGCACCATAAATAAACAATCAGTGTGTCAGTTTACACAAACCCCGATGAATCAAACATATTCATAACTTAAGTGTTCCAGCAATAGGGTGGAAAAATGAACTGGTTGGTATGGTTGCACATTTAATGGGCGGTAAAGAACACTATCTGCTCATCCTGTGTTCTTTTATTGCTTTTTATATTTACACTGTCCATTAAATACATTCTAGCAATATTTGTTACATGCAACTGAACTGTTAGCAAAGAAGTCCATTATTTATGCATGCCATATGCATGTTAGCCCTATCCCGCATGCGTACTATCGACTTCAGCAAGAGTATTAGGAGGCTTTTTGACAGCAGTCTTCAATATCTTAACCAGCGATTTCTTTCTGTTTGTTTGTTTGGGAGTAATTCACAGTAATGAACGGCGATGTATAGTGCATGAAGTGAAATAACAGTATCAAAAATGTGAATCTTCAAACATGCCTCCAGTGTGTCAACAAGAGTCAATGCTGGAAAAAGAAGTGAAGGTTAAAGTTAAGCTGGCCACATATTCCGGCAGGCGAGATTAGAAAAAGTGTTCATAAGAAGAAATGTCTTTTTTTTTTTCAGTAAAAAAAAAAAAAACCAGCTGCTGCAAGCGCACAGTTTCCCATAACTAACTAGAGGGCACTCTGGTGCTGTGATAGTTAAGCCACCATGGGAATGTTGAGAGTTCACATACAGTATGTATTTGCCTAATATACTTGCTTGCGGCTTCAAATGCACTTGTGGCTTCGTTTATTGGTGTGTTTTGGCATTTGTTTTGGATAAAAGACAGGATGATTATGAACTCTACGAATGAATTTGAATTGATGAGCCTAGAAGGTTAAGGCGGTGAAGTAGACCTGCTAAACATTTGCAGATTTTTGTTTTGCGACAAAGTGGCTCCAGGTCACACGAAGCTAAATGGAGCCAAAAGAACAAATATTACACTAATCCGTGTACTACCCATCATACAAGGTCCACTAGATTCACCAGGCACATTATGAACTGGTTCATGTAGGTGCTGTTTAGGTGTTGCCATCGTGCAGGGGATGTTTCAGCAAGTGCAGAAGCAAAGAGATGCGGAAACGAATACGAGAGTGCCGATGTGGAAGCCCTATGCTACTGGTCGGCTTTCTTGCCGGTTGTGGAGGCTGATTGATAAATGATGGCTTTGCTTATGTTCTTGGCATCTGCAGCTGGTAACAGCAAACATTCACTGTCATTGCATGCCGCTAAAACAGACACGAATGCAATCGGCTATCGTCTCCTGCAGCTGCAGCCATCTTGTGCTGCACGGACTCAGCACTACCTTATGAGCAATTGCAGGGAATTTGTAAACTATCCTTGCATGACAGCTACACTTTTTCAAAACGAATATTGAGGTGCCACCACCACCATGTTCAACTTGTGAAACAAATGCCAGATTGCAGTGCCTCCGTGAACTGGTTCACGAAGTGCAGGTGAAACGAACGGACCTTCCCATCCTGGCTGAAGTGCCATGCGTTGCAGCTCCCATGGACACTAATACCAGAGTTTTCTCTAGTGTGTTTATAGGAAACTCTATGGCTGCTGGACACAAAAATGCATAAAAGGAAAGGTTATTACAAGCACTCTCCCTGCCCCCCTTTGTCACAGCTGCCACACAAGCCTTTAGAAGTAGCCCAACATTTGCATCAACCAGACCGAAGCAGTAAGTAATGAGAGCCTGCCTGGACTACTTGAACATAATAATGCATGCATCGTAGCTCCGCTTCCATGACCTTCAATACATAGCCACAAAACTTTGCCGCTGAGCTTAACACTATCTCCTTTAGAATGCTATTGCATTTGAGGGTATAAAAATAATATAAATAATATAAAGTAATAAAAAATGATATCAAGGAAAGCAATGGGTTATTCGCAGAACCACTGAATTATGTATGCTCCATGCAGAAGCTGAAACGTCACTAAAGTGACACTTATACAACCTGCCAAATCCACAAATAGAAAATAAGAAGTTTGCCTTGTTGCTTGGATCACTGAATAATGACTGCAGGCCCAAAATTATGCTGCGCATCCTTTCCTCCAAGTTTGGATCTGCAGTGGGAAAATGGAATGAAATTTCAGTCTGCAGCATGTTGATTAATTGATATGTGGGGTTTAACGTCCCAAAACAACTATATGATTATGAGAGACACCGTAGTGGAGGGCTCCGGAAATTTCGACCACCTGGGGTTCTTTAACGTGCACCCAAATCTGAGCACACGGGGCTGGTGCAGTATGTGACACATAGCATGAACAATTAGGCAGCATGGGCACTTGAATGCCAAATGATAGGTGCCCTAATGTGGAATCAGTGAAGGTATTCTTTGTCAGCAAGTTGCTGCTTTCTTACAACCATAAATTTTAATTGCAAAATTTTATTTTCAATTACTTTACCATTTATCTTCAATGGCAGCATTTCAAATAGAAACTACTTATAAGACATGAAACCAGGAAGCCATTCAGCTATACTAAGTAGCATCCATGAAACCAAGGCAAAATTTTTGAGCCACGCTAATATAAAAGGAAGCAGAACCTCAGAAAATGTTAAATAAACAGTCTATAGAACTGCACACTTTCTGTGCTATGAATACGAGTCAACTTTTTATCACTGTAGGCATTTTCCAAAAGCCAAAAGTGCATCCGTATACATTGCCAGTTTTGGAGAACTGCTTAAGTGCAAAATTACAATGACTATATTACAGCTACCTAGCAAACCATAGCCAGAGCATAACTACAGCAAGAGAACTAAGCTTTATCACTAATGAGAAAACTAGAGAAACATGCAGCACAAGTTCAAGAGTTTTAAACATGTTCATGCATCCCAAAAACAACCACACACGACACTCCCCACACTATAATGTTAGCATGTACAAAGAGTAAAGATCAACCCAACAATCAACATGTAGCTCTGCGCATTTCACAAAACTGTGCCAATATCATTGCCTGCATCTTCTGAACATAGTGTCAACTCATTGTGAAACTTCCACAACGATGCACAATCTCAGGTAAGCAAAGCTACAAAACGTGATGTAAAAATTGTTTTTAATGAATAATAGTGTGTCACACCTTGAAAAATACACAAAGTGTATTGTTAACTGTCTTTATTGCCTTTGAAACAATTCTTCTAATTAAGGTAAATAATTCTAATTTACAATATTACTTCAGCACTTTAGTTTTTTTTTTCTTTCTTTCCTTGGTGGAGTGTTTCTACGTCACAGTTGCAACTAAACGTAGCATAATACAGATGGTAAATGCACTAATTTCTAACATTCGATGAAAGCAAGTATTTACATATACCGTATATACTCGTGTAGTGAACACACTTTTTTTTTTCTCGAAAAATCGGAGCAGTGTTGGGGGGGTGTTTATTATGCGGGGCAAATTTTATGAACTTTTTCAGTATGAGCAAAAAAATGTGGTAATGCAAAAAAGTTAGGTTGCTCAGCTTCTTTGTTGCACTTCACTCATCTTCGGTGCTTGAAGGCACTATTTTCTGTAAGCTGTTCCCACGCCGCCCGTGCACGCCGTAAAAGCGTTTCGCGGCTATCTCTTCTCACAATCGTTCAACCGCAACAGTGGTATCTGCTCTGATCACGAGGGGCGCCTAGAAACGTGCGCTACGACGCCACGACGCACGTTGCCTACTTTGTGGCAACCTCGCACAATGACCGTGACGCTGCCATTGACAATGTAGCAAGCAATCAACATTGCAGCAAGCTACCACTGAAGCACCAAAGCAAGCCATCGATAACAAGATTACCGACAAAATACGGCAGCCGCCTCGCTTGCGACCGAAGCAGGAATCGCAGACCATGTTGCAGAAATAGTCGCGATCTTTTCTGGGCGAGAAGCGATTTCTTTCTAATTTTCCAGTAACCTGTGACGCGAGGGCGACGAATGGCTCTTTGCGACAGCCATAGCAACAGCAAATCCAGTCGTCGTCGCTCGAAAATTGCGTGCGTGTGGTTAAGCCTTGAAGTTTCGTATTTGCAGGAAGTGACTGTCGGGGCTGACACGGGAAGTTTCGCGACTCTCGCTCGGTACGTGCTTGTCAGCTGCTACTTCTCTACACTCGCATCATTCGTGAGCCCCGCTGTGGCACATAGATATTTTAAAAAGAGTGGGTACGTGCCTTGCACAAATAAAAAAAAACTATACGGTGCGCAGCAGATGGCGAAGGGGGAGGGAGAAGCGAGCGGACGTGGCCGAGGAGGGTCGGCATAATAATAAAGAATGGAAGAGATTCAATGGGCAAGGAGGCATCAGGTGTCTGTTAGCAGGACTGCAGTGGACAAATGTAGAGGGTGCATTTATTACATGGAGAAAAGAAAAATTAAAAATTTTGGACGACTGAAGTTGGGGGTGCGTTTATTATGAGTGTGCGTTCATTACGTGAGTAAATACAGTACGCTATCTGTGACCATGAAATACATTTAAAAGCAGCCCATTTATCCAAGATTTAATACACCCCATTTTTTCAGTGAGCAACACAATGAAAATGCCTTCCATGTAAAGACCAAAACAAGTTGTACATTCTTCTAAAGCCCATTTTAGAAGGAGTGATGAGCTTGTATACTCTATACAATAAAATACACATGCAATCAATGCATCTGGCACCACCATTCCATGGTATAGACTAAAACTACCAGAGGACAGAAAATAATTAATGGAATGCTAATTTGAACTAATTGCCATGTCACATAAAAATGCCGCAGGGACAGCAGATACTTACTTTCGGTTTTGCTTAACTGAATAAGAAGTCCTGAAAGATGAAGTTAATGCACCTTCCAAATAAAACACCCTCCCTTCCCCCAGCTCAACAGTAAATGCAGTCAGCCAAATATTAATGACACTTAATACATCTGACATTATTCAACTTCTGCAGGACATATTCACATTGCACTGTTAAACAGTCTGAATAATTTCTGGGGCTTTCAAACCCATGGGTCGGACTTACTCACGAGTCGACTCACTCAGACTTACTCCGGTTCAGACTGCCCTAAAGTCTGAGACGGAGCAAGTTCTGCTGAGGAAAAATCTGGCAAGTTTGAATATGAGTCAGCCTAGCTGAGTCATGATTTTAATGAATCCCAGTGTGAGTGAGTACAGTCAACTATGATTCTTGTGAAAAAGTCCAAGTGAGCCGGGTTAAGCGGAATTTCAGTGAGCATGAGTCTGACTCACACTCACCATAATTCTATTTAATCTAAGTGACGCACTCAAAGTGTGCGTCATTTAGATTCCGGTAGCTCAATGAATCTGAGTGAGTCTACCTGAATAAAATCTTGACCAGTGAGTCAAGCTGAGGTGAATATTGGTAATCTTGAAACAGAGTGAGGTGAACAGAACAAAATTTGAGTAAGGTTGAGCACAAGTGAGCCCAACTGAGTATAACTATGGCGGGTCAGCCCGAAACAAAAACATATTCGTTCTGAGTGAGTGAATGTTAATGAGAGTTTCATTTACTTTGCCGACCTAGGTTTGAACATGATCAAATTCAATAATAATAATAATTATAATAATAATAATAATAAGTGTGGTTTTAGGTCCAAAAACCACCATGTGATTATTAGAGATGCCGTAGTGGAGGGCTGCAGAAATTTTGGCCATCTGGTGTTCTTTAACGTGCACTAACATCGTACAGTACACTGGCCTCAACCATTTCGCCTCTATGGAAATGAGACCACCACAGGCAGGATTGAGCCCGCGACCTTCCAGTCAGTAGCCGAGCACCAAAGCCACTGTTCCATTGAGGTGGACATGATAAAGTTCAATGAAAAGACTGAATTGACTGAAGCAAAAAAAGTATGCAATGTATATGAAGTGCTATAGTAAAATTGTGCAAAGGCATGAATTTGTGCAAAGCATATGAATACCGTAAAGTACCTGGGGGTCACAATGACATCATTTTAAAGTGGGATGTCCACATTAATCATATTTCTGCATATGCATTTAAACAACTAGGTTTTTTAAGGTGTAAATTGACTGGAACTTCCCCTCCAATTAAACTAACAGCGTACAAGGCGCCCATTAGACCCGTCCTAGAATATGCAGCAATAGTTTTAAATCGCACCAAAAGAACAATATTGATGCATTCGAAAAAAGTCATAACAGGGCTCTTAGATTTATTTTTTCAAAGTATGCCAGGCAGGAGAGTGTTTACGCACTGTGTTTGGAAGCACATGTTACAACTCTTCTTAGCCGATGACAATAAGCTAGTCTGAAATTTCTTTTTCTTCTTTCAAGCAACCTGATAAACCTAAATAAGGATGATTATCTAAAAGCTCCCCACCGTCACTCCAGTAGAACTAACGACAAATGCATACGCCCATTCCTGTCATGTTGCAACACGTTGAAGTATTCTTTTTTTTCTCGCAGTTACAGAGATGTGGAATGACTTGTCGAATGACGTCGTCAGTGCTCAATCACGTGAATCATTTTCATCACTGTTGAAAATTCATTAAGAGGAATCGCAATAGGCTCTGCGGTATCTGTGCCCAAAATAAAGGCTGAAACAATGTATCGTCCATATACTCGCATATTGCTACACGCACTTCACGGGCTGCATCTGTGTATCAATAATGTTACTGTTTGATGTTATCATGCTAACTAGTTTTCTTTTTCTTTCCAGTGAAACAAATATGCATTGTTCGTTTATTGCTTCTATACTGTGATATCGTTGTTTTGGCTGCTTTGTGTAGCATATTTTCCCTTTCTTTTCATCTCCACAATATGAAATGTTATTTGCTTTGTATGCCCTCTCCTGTATAGGCCTGGCCCACAGTATTGAATAAATAAATAATAATAATAAATAAAGAAATAAATAAAATCAGGCATGACGACAGTTTTCACAGGTTTTAACCATGAAAATAATTAACAAAACAAAATGCATGCAATAGGAAAGTCTAGTAACAAAATATCCTTACCCAGGCTACTTCCTTATGCTTTGTCTATGGGAAGCAAAGGTTAACCCTTACAGAAACATTTCAAAATGATTTTAATGACCTTTTCTTTCTTTCATTAGTTGTATACTGTTCCATGTCTATGTACCTATTATTTTGTGGATATATAATATTTCAATGTATCACAAATCTAGTGCTGAAGACATTACCACATAGTAGTGGTTCACAGCAAAAGATGCAATGTGTGAGCGATGTCACCTTTTATGCACCTGATCAAAAGCAAACATCGCAGGTGTGACTAGTTTTTTTTTTTTTTATTAATTCAATCATGTTAAATACCTACTTTTAAAGAGTGCAGAAAAATGAATGCCCCTAAAACTCAAGTGCTAGTACAATGTATACTTACTTAGTGCACTTTCCCTGTACATAATAGTCTGATCTGCTAACTCTGATTAGCAGGAGCTTGAGTGACTCAATGGAAACATCTTTAAAATGTAAGCAGTTGAAAGGTCTCAAAAGTATACAACCCTAGTCTGCCAATATGCGTAAGTGGCCAGGATACAGCTATAACCTGTCTTAGAATTTTTTTTTTTAATTTGGCACTGGCTGCAAAGTGACGGCTTTCTGATACTGCTAGTGTTAAAAATTGTCATCGCTAAAAAACTTTCAAACAAGTTGTCAAATCTTTCCCTCTTGAGGAAAAAAAAACACTCTAGAATGCAATAAGAAGACCACACAGGCACGTAAAGTAATGTGAGAGATTAAGCTTGCGTTACCATATGAACCATATGTTCAGTCAAGAGGGAAAGGCACAGAAAAAAAGTACCCTTTTGAGGGTCAATTGATTTTCTTGCTGATTTAAATGATTCAGATTAATCTATTTCAGGAAAAAACCTTTTTCCAGGGTGACCATAAAGTGACAAAAATACTGTTAGTGTTGTTACATACACGTAGCACAGTATATTCACGAGTAACAGCGAGATAACTTCTAAGAAGAAGATTACACGACCTAAAAAATCACGCTTTGTAATAGACATAGTTTACAGGTGTACAAATAAGTGTACACTGTTGTATCAACTGGAAACACGTATGAAGGCAGAACAGTCACCTTTAATTCATTAGGCATTGTCTTGTCCCACATGCTTTTGAGGTGGTACTCGTTTATCGGAAACCTAACTTGTAAGTAAGCCTTCGTATGGCGGGCTGACATCGAATGAATCAGATTTTGATTCTGCAGTCAAGCGGCTATTTGGAGGAAGTGACAAACCTATAACAATCCTTTGTCTTAAGGGCCAATGAGACGTGGTTTTTGCGAGTCCCCAAAAAGGAAATGCAACAACAGCAGTATAATTTTGTTTTGTTTAAGTCAGCTTCTGCACAGAAGCAGGTGTAATCACACCCCAAGGAGTGATAAATGAGAAAATAACAATACAGTCACCCCTTGAGAGATCTTAAACAAGACAGCTCTCAGTTATGCAGGTGCTAGAAGCAGAAACCAGCTGAAGAATGAAGCCAAAATAATCCGCTGCATACCCGTGCACGACTGAATACTCAAGCGATAGGTGGCACACAGCTGTAGTAAAGCATAAAAAACTTTCGAGTATTCCCGCAATGGGGCAGCACATGCACATGTACGTGATAATGTACAGTGCCGTCCACTCTGGGTACGAACCCGACACACGATGGCCCCGCTCCGTAGGGCGCCAGCGCACGTGGTGCGGCCGCTCAACGAAGCTTATCGGCGCAGGCGCACAGGCCTTGCGTGGGCTCTTTTGACACCCTGGCGCACCGTACTGGCTTTGAGGTGAAGCACGCCTATCAACGCCTATCTTATCAGCGTGCCTGTGGCGATTGAGTATGCAGCAACGGCAATGCAGGAAAGCTTCGCTTACTGCCTTCACTTACTACCTTTGTGTGCAGCTTTCTGCGAACTTTGTAAGTGGTTTTTCCTCTCAGTACCACAACTCTTCTTAATGGATTGCATCTTTGAAAATTGCTCGGTGTTTTGGTTTATAGAAATGAATATCGCAAAGTGGGTTTGCATTTATGGGGTACGCTGTAAAGATAGCTGCGGATAATTTCGACCACTTTTGCTTCTCCAGCATGAGCTGACATTAAACAGCTTACGGGCGTACTTTACTCTGATTTCCATGAGAGTTCAGTCAAACCAGCTGAGTTTCGGTCATGAATGGGTGAAAACAAAATTGAACCTAACACTACCACCTGAAAGAAGGCATTTGCCGTATCTCATATGTGAATTATTTCCTAGGTGGACTTGGCGTCATAATTTGAGAAACATACCGATACAGATCTCCGCAGTGACTGATATGGCACACAGATTCCAAAATATACTAGATTTTTTTTTTCTTCCATGGTCACCTTTCAATACATGGTGACTGCATGGACTGCTTCACAAAAGTACTGCGTAGGACCGTGGTAAGAGGTGGTTTCACAGCAGTTTTTCGTTTACTTTCATTTACGTTAAGCTGTAAGCTTGGGGAGGCATGTCAGCCATTGGCTGCATTTACTCTGGCTCGCAGCATTGCTTTGATGGCACTCCGTCGAAGCATGTCCTTCTGAATCAGCCCTGACCGCACAAACACGGCCATGTACTCACCTGAGATTACGGAGAATTTCGAGTCCTGTTAACTCAGGAAAACAAAACCAACCACCACGTGGGCAACAAAAGGGGTGGGATTAGAAACGTCATTGTGACGGCCCTCTAATCGCCTCACGGCACTGACAGCCGACGAATCAATGGGCCTCTTCCAAGACCCAGCGTGGCACAGTGACTCCTCACATCAGTTCGGCTTATGACACGGCCGTGTACTGTTTGCGCGCCTGCAAACTCCGCAGTGTGCAGTGCAAAACTGCGGTGATTACCGTGAACCTTTCGTTCTAGTCCGGTGAGGTAGCTCTCGGAAGCGGGCGGGCTCACAACACGTGAAAGTGTAGCTAACATCGCGGTGAACGGGCGCCCAATCACCGCGACATAGCCTGCACTTTCCGTGTCGCGAGCGTCGGCGCCTTGGGTGCCTAATGTTGCACTGACATGTAATCGACTGCTTTCGCGTTAATCCTTGCAAATGAGCTCGTAAGTGAAGCCACATACAGTCAACAAACGGTTCCTCTTACAGCGCACAGGGGTCACGCGGATGATTGCGCAGTCAAGAAGTTGACGCGTTGCAGGGAAGCTGTCCTATAGCCCCAAACCCCAGTAGTGCGTGTAGCTCCAAGTGTAGACAATTGTGTGCCGCTGAGCTCACCCTCGGCTCTATGACTTATTCTAGTTTTGTTTGATTCACACTTTCGGTTGTTATTTAGGGAGAAGGCATGAGCCCGCACGTGCACGAAGGTGGCGTCCTCGTGGCGGGGTTTTGATTGACCAAATGTACTGTCCTATTAAAGGACAAAGAGGCGACGATTTGCCGAGAGTTGTGTAAGAGCGGAGCACTGAGGGAGTGAGAAAAGGCCCCGAAGTTCCACCAAGCGTTCTGAACCGGGCTTAATGTGTTAGGCGCCGTCGACTCTGCCGAATCCCGTAGGGTCGCCCTATAAAAGACTGTTCATTTCCAAAGTGTTTCCTTTTCTTTTTTTGTAACTTTGATGTCCGTACTTATGTAATCTCTGTGCAGTCTAAATACAAGTTACCCTTGCCCTGAATAACACAACGACCAAAACGTAAATAAAACTAAACTAGAAAAAGTCATACAGGCTAGGGCAAGCTGAGCGGCGCACAATTACCTAGACTTAGAGCTACACATACTGCGGCTTGCAGTTGTAGGAACGGCTCCCCTGGAAACAAGTTGATTTCTTGTCGACGAGGAAATTCTCCACCTGTCCCATGAGCGCTATAAGAGGAACCGCTCGCTGACTGCACGTGGTTATATTTACGAGCTCATTTGCAAGAATTTAGTGCGAAAGCAGTCGAAAACTTGCCAATGCGACAATATGCACCAAAGGTGCTGCTTGCACGTGTCACAAGCCCGCCCGCTTCCGAGAGCTACCTCACAGGACCGGGATGAAAGGTTCATGGCGATCCTCGCGGTTTCGTCACGCACGTCGCCAGACGCAGCGGCACCTTGTAAGCGCGTGAACAGCATGCAGCTGGGCCGCAGCCGAACCAAAGTGAGGAGTCACCGCGCCGCGCTGGGTCTCGGAAGAGGCCCATTGATCTGTCAGTTGCCAGTGCCATGAGGCAATTAGAGGGTCGTCACAACGATGTTTCTAATCCCACCTTTTTTGTTGCCAATGTGGGGGTTGGTTTCCTTTTTCTGAGTTAACAAGAACTCGAAACGCTTCGTAATCTCAGGCGAATACATGGCTGTGTTTGTGCGGACGAGGCTAATCTGGACGGACACGCTTTGACTAAGTGCCATCAAGGCGATGCTGTGTGCCAGAGTAAATGCAGTGAAACAGCTGACATTCCTCCCCAAGCTTACCGCACAACGTAAATAAAAAAAACCAAAAACTACCGCACAACCACATCTTACTGCAGTCCTACAGTGTACATTATTGAGCCTGAAAGGGCTGAAAAATAAAAGAATGTCAAATATTTTAAATTATTATATGGTTTAGATAGCTTCCCAGTGGCAAGCACTGATTACCCCTTTACATCTCTATTCACACCATTTTGATGAATAAGATGCATCAGAGCAAGAATATTGACCAGACACTGTCACACACAACTGAAACTTTCATATCAAGCTCAGGTAGAAATAGTTTGTTTTTTCATAATCATTATATTGAACTTTTAAAAAATTCCTTCTCATCGCAGGACATCCATGTTTACTGTACAATAAGTCTTGTGCCTTCTCTATAAAGCTTTCAGGCAACTAGAAATATGAAAACAAAAACAAGCACAAACAGACACGCAAACAAACAAAAAAATTCACCTTGTTCTGTGGATCCTGCACAATTGATTATGTGTTTCAGTGCTGTCAGAGCTCCAATTCTTGTTTTATCATTGCTGTTTTCCGCTTTCATCAAGAGGAAGGCTGTAAGTCTATCTGGATACATTGTAGCTTGAAGAAAAAGCACACATTTACGAGACATGTTAGCAAAAATCATAGTTAGAAACAATACATGGATAGAAATTGACAGTGCTTTTCGACTCAAGAGGCTATGACCGAAATCTGGGCATATTAAATACTAGCTAACACAAAGCTCAAGTCCTGGCAAGGTGGAGCTTTCTTAATCAATATTAATATCTGGGATTTCATGTCTCAAAACCACGATATGATAAGGGACATTGTAGTAGAGGGTTCCGGAAAGTTCAACCATCTCGTGTTCATCAACACATAACTGACATCGATGAACATAGCGTGTATTAGCGCAGTACATAAAAGAAAGGGACACGACACAGACATACAGATAGGTAGGCGCTAATCTCTACGTCTGTGTCGTGTCCCTTTCTTCTATGTACTGCACTAATACACACTACGTTCATAGATGACCAACTAGCCCGATCAGCAACCCTTCTGAACTGACATCGCACAGTACACGGGCCTCCACCTTTTTGCCACCTTCGATATACCATAATTATAACAGTCTTTCATAAAACAGACTGAAGTCCAGGGTTGAACGAAAGCCCGTCTGGTCGCAAAAGTTCACAAAAGAAAATAGTGAGCGCCAACCAATCGTAGAAATAAAAAAAAGTTAAACGATTGGTCGGCATTCGTTACAGTTGAGCCACTTTATAAGACAAATGGGTATAAGAGACACCAGTGTGCCAACAGTAAAATAGGAGTTGATAAGAAAATGCATGCTTATAAGAGACATCTCATATAAAAGACAACAATTGCTGCCCAGAACATGCCCCTTATGAAGGGGTTAATATTTTCTTCCCTAAAATAGCCTACAAAGAAACAATGATACTTTAGACTTTTTTTTTCAACCAATGTGCTGCCAATTTGGTGTCAGAAACTTTACATGATTTAGTGCACAAAAGCAAAAATGCTTACTACTAATGTATAGGCAAGGAAAGGTCATAAGACAAGAAAATAAAAAAATATGTAGCCTTTTGTGCACACATCACATTCAATTGAAAAGTGTATTGAGACAAGTAACAGAAGGACTGTAAAGTTGGCATTAACCCTCTAAGCACCTTGGATGTGTTTAGGACATGAAACACTAATAAACATTCCATTGGATATTATTATTTGTGCTTGTTTAGCACGTGCTACATCACTCTAAGGCATGATATATTTATTCTTCACATTTATGTCATGTGCCTTTCATTGCTGTATCAGTAAATGCCAATAACTCTGGTTACAATTCACGATGGCAACACCCATGCAGGCGCAAACTCGCATTTATATCTGAACTTACGCTTGCTATTTGCCCACTGCACTGGATGCAACAAATGGTGAAATGAGTCATTACTTGGTGACATCTCATGCTGAGGAGAAAGCATCAGGTACATTTTGTGCGAAATCAGTTGTTTAGCCAAGCCTTCAAAGCGAAATGCACTGAGAATTCATAGTGGTTCTTGGTATTAGAGCGATATATAGTTGCGAATACATTGCTGTCAAAGTATTAGCACATTAATCTAAAGCAAACACAAGCGTTAGTTTGTAACCTACAGGTCACACAGAGAGCATGCTGATGACTTGATCAATTTAAAGCAGAGGGCACCAGCTGCGATGAGTGCAGTCATATTTAAAAAATTTTTTCGGCGATGTCATTTACTTGCCTGCCTACGCATGGAAGCAGAAGCCAAGGAGACACTAACAAGGCAATGCAACACAGATGAATAAATGTAGAAGAGCTAATTTCCCTTCCTAATGGTTAAGAGGCCTTGCAGCTATTACAGCACAAAAGGGAGTTTCTGAGGTGGACTATAGTACCGCTTGGTGAGGAAAGAAAATAAAGGTATGCACAAAAAGTATAAATGAACTGATTGAAAGCAGTCTGAAAGAGTTTAATAAGAAGGTAATTTTTTTAAATTGCCCATAAAAAGCAAAATGTCCCTTTTGGTCAGAAGTAATAAATGTGGCACATTAGCACAGCAATCGCAAAGAGCACGGCAACCAACAGCAATAAAGTTAGAATAAGGCGTGTAAGCGAGAAGTTTTCATCGATCCTAAGAGCAACGAAAAAGCTAAGAATAAAAGTACGCGAGTAAACCTTAACCGGCATTTGGATTCAATAAAGCCGCAAAAGCAACTTACTTTACTAAGATCGGGGGCTGGGCTACATAAGACTTATGGGTTTAGGCATATGAATTTAAATCAAGTGTCAATGCTTAATTGTGCACATAAGTCAAATAATTAAAGTGCTATTTGAATGAATAGGTGCCTTTATTATTGCATCAGTGACACTTCTAGTGGATGAATGTCAAGCTCATGGAACTCTCACAGATGCTATCAAAGGTCCACTAGGAGTATTCACCATTTGTTCCACAAAATCAAATTATGCTACAGATGCACAGTCTTTGTTCCAAATCCTGAAAAGAACTGTGAAGTGTCAGATATAGATGTACGGTTGCAGTTTAGTCTAGTTTTATTTTCTGGTGAGTAAGTTAATCAAAGTGTTAGTAATGATGCTTGCCTGTTCTTCATCATGTGACCAACTACTGAATCATGATTAAACCATTAACTGAGAGGTTCATCACTGCAATAGCATTCAAAGTCGGGCTAGTTGCTAAGGCAGCAGTTTTGCGTACAGTGTGAGAGTAACGAAGACTGAAAAGTACGAAGGGACACAGACGAGCGTTGACTCGCAGCTGAAAAATTTTATTTGAAGAACACATGAATGTGAAAGTAATAAAAAACAAAAACGAAATGCACCCAATACATCCAATTGCATTCAGTATATAAGATGTGATACTGATGTCTATCATTATGTTGAAGGCATTTTGGTATAAAAAAAAGGTCTGTCACTCAATTATAAGCACTGATTTACAATATGCCATTACCCACAAAAATACAGTCGGAATAAAATAGCTCAGGCTTTTTTCAAAGGCCCTAAAGTACGCAAGCTCGGACTTCTTTGGCAACACAGCTATAGTTACAACATGATGTCGTTACATTCCTGATGCAGAGATGATTTTGAAACTGTCTTTCTGAGTAGCTCAACAAGTGCGGACAGCACCGAGCTACAGACACCAGGCTGTGTTCATTCAGTAGTGATGGTGGCTACAAACTTTTATGAAGCAATTGGTGCAGGGCCCAGTTGCTTTATCTCCTACACTATAACGTGCAAGCAAGACTTTGAATTGTAGGTAAGGAGAAAACGTGAAGGAGATTGTACACTAGTGCCCAGATGCAGGGCAGTGGGCTAGATGTGTGGTTAAGGAAGGTGTCTCCTTCAAACATCTTTTATACCAATGCCCTGCTAAGTACTATAGGTGCTTCTGTATGACACCTGCTTCACAGATCATTAGGCAGGCAAGCCTTTCCCCAGCTGTTCAGCATTGCAAGGCACCTCTTTAAATGGTCTTTTCCAAATCTAACATGTAAGCCATTAGGTGAAAGGAATGCAGTGTCTAGGGCTATAGCCCTTACGGTTAAACCTGGATATAACGAAATCGATAAATTCCAAAAAAAATTTGTTATAAAAAGGATTTTTTATATGCAGATTCTATACGAAAATTCGGAAAGTAAACGTGCACATTGAACAAACAGGCGGCCGAAGGCAAAGCTAACCCAAAACACTTATATTACAGTAAAAAATCTGCATTATTATTGCGATAGCAATTATATGGACACTCCTGGTGGGCTTTTGCCGTCGCCGCCATGTTCCGTGACAAGTCCGAATTAATAACATGCCCCTGGGCATCGTAACTTTCACGAGCGGGTAAAAGTGTACGAGCGCTGCTGAAACAGAGATCAAATGAGTCAGCCATCCCTATCGCCTGGAGAGTGCATAAGATAACATCTTCCGTGTGTTAGAACTGCCGTCGAATACTCAAACAGAAAGTAAACTACCGAGCTTGAACGAGCCTGAAACAACGCGGGGAGGGGATCGCACGATTAGCAATAATAAACTTTGATTTTAAGCACGGTCGCAATCGCTGGCGCGATTGCTATCTTGGCGAGTATCAGTGCGATTTCAACGCGAGAACTGCTCCCTGAAGCGGCTGTATTTGCTCACGCCATCGTTTTGCAGGAGTTAAGCGATATTGAATCCGCGATATTGGCTGCCAGCCTTACTTATTATAAGATTGCTATTTTTTTGCTATCACATTCGTTGCATTGCATTCAATGCGCAGGTCATGTTGCCAGAACTAATCGGTTAATCGCGAAAGCTACCAGCCTGCGAACTCGCGGCGCAAGATGGAAGGGCGTGACAAGTCGATTGATTTGATTGATATGTGGGGTTTAACGTCCCAAAAGCGTGACAAGTCGAGCTCCGAAGATCCGTCGTCTCCTTGGTCTCTGAGTTTCAATCAGCGCCCAGACTGACATCCCCTCGGTAGTGACGATACGGTTGTCCGAAATTAAGAAAAATCAGTTTCGCCACAAAGGTGAAGCATTGAATGCGATAGCAACAACTTGAAAAGCAACGCTGAGAATGGCAAACAGATGAAAATGTGCAGAGCGCAGCTCATGCACAAATGACGCACGAGGACAAGAGCAAACTAACAACGTTTACCGCTCGACACTTGATGCACTGTTTAAACAAAAACTAGACACGAAACGTAATCACAGGTACAGATATGAGTGCGAACTAACAAGTGCCCCAGTTATCACTTCGCTGAGTTTGAAAAGCGCACTCTTTTCTCAAACGGCACCTGCTCAGAAAGTGAAGTGATCTTTGTGCACCCGGAAACTACACGCAACCGTTCCGGTCAAAGTCGAAGGCACGCAATGCTCCCCCCTGAAGATTAAGCGTGCGCGTACGTGCATCAACCTTCCCCCCCCTCACGGGGCAAAGTACACGCGGGAGATAAGCGTGCGTTGGCGCATCATGACGAGCGCCGAGCGCGGGCAGCTTTTTTTTTTCTTTCTTCAGCTTTCCTATCTATATATACGTATACGTATGAGATGAATGACTGCAACGACGACAAAAAACCAGTCGA